CAACGCATTACTTTATTATATGTGATTCGATAGCTCTACGAAGGTCGAAAAATTAAACCAATTTCTTCTTCTCGATAGATATAACGTCTTGTCTAGTACGACGTTAATATCGTGAAATTTTTAAGTAGAAATACGTTTTTCAGAAACAACACAAGAAATTCAAGAAACAATAGAAGAAGAATTACAAATAAAGTATTAAATTATACATAAATACAGATAAAATAATAAATACAGTTGCCTCTGAAATGGAGTCCACGTAACTTACGTTGGGACTAATGTCCCAGCTCTGATATTCTGTGATAAAATTATTTGTGGTTTAAAGATTATCTAGACTCTAGAGGGATTATTGTTCTAAGACAAAGTTACTAAAGCAGAATGAATGGTTTATGTATGTTTAGACTTGTACCAGTGAATCCCTCAGTCGGGCCACCTTATTGCTCTTCCTCAAGTGAAGCACTTGAGTGGCGTCTATAAAAGAGAGTGATCAAAATATATGGCCTCCTGTTAGACTCGAAATAAACGTATTTTTCTCAGGTACCTTTACAGCAAGATTACATCTTAAGTAATGTTTATTAAAAAGTCTGCCAAGTTCGAGTCGTACAGCAGTCGTTTTAATAATGCTATTAATAAAAAAGAAAACAAAAAACATTTTTTTTTCGCTGTATTAAGCTAAATACTGTCTATAATTTACGCGAGTAATACACATTTAAATAAAACACTTTAACGGTTTAAAACACGATATACTAGTTAAACTTATTTGAAAATGATTTTTAACTTCGGCCCGACGTTTCGGATGCATTGCAGCAGCCCACCAGTCTCCCCGTGACCACGGCCACGTGCTACCACTGAATTGATAAAATGGTATCAGTCGTTGTTCCGGAAAATATTAAATCAAACACTTTTAAATATTAACTACTTTACTAATATGAAGCCTTACAGCAGTAGTCTCGTAATCCTTTCTTGATTACATTAAATGTATTATAGTTACGGGTAGTGGGCTTGAATGACTACTGCCACTGAGTTATTGATGATAACCGAGACCGACGCTTCAACGTGCTGATAAAAGGTACAAAGTGACCTTGTTCTACTTATTACAGATCGCACTTTAAAAGCAAAAGTCGAAACTACCCTCATATATGGAGAATTTCGAAATACCATTCGTAATTACAAACTGAACTTTGACTTTTGCTATTAAGCCGTACTATTTGCGATTGGAATTAATGAATGCTGTGAATTGTTACCTGAATAACAGACGTAATTGCTGTCGAAGTTTTACGTAAACAAATAGTTTAATATAGATGCTGAATTTCAAACTCGACGCCGGTATACTGTTTGTCTGTCGGAATACCTGGAAGAGTGCAATAATTAAATTTAAATATCGAATTAGCTTTATAACGAAGAGGTGAAAAAGTATTATTAACAAGGTTTGATTCCAATCGGCTCAAACATATTTTATTTTTTTCGTAAGTTTGTAATCTGATTTTGAACTGCATCTGGAGCTAAATGGTTAAACATAGCATTGCATCTAGTGTGATAGGTCCTAGGTTTGAATCCCGAGGAAACAATAAATTATTTCGGTTGAGGAGATCAAATGCTTGCCTGTAAATAAAACCGATCAATGAAACGGACACAGAACCCTATGCCCTAAGATGACCGGGATTTTACACTTAAACCATCTGATTTCTCTTAGCATGTTAGACCTCATTAGAAAATCTTGACTTTTAATAGTCACGAAAACCCATCCACACAGATGCCATGAAGTATTTATCCGCGTTTCAGTTTAAATTATTGTCTGTATGGCTAAAGCAAAAATAAGCCAACAGTGCATCTTTATTTGTGTGAAATTAATACTTGTATTTATTTAAATAAATCATTTTAACGTTTTAAAACGCGATATATTAGTTAAACTTATTTGGAAATGCGTTAAAGTGATTTATTTAAATGTGTACTACTTGCGTAAACTATTGACAGTATTTAATACTTGTATGTCATGGAAAAGCTTAATAGAAGTCTATATAATCTGTGGTTTAAATGCCTCACCACTACAGCTGGTTGTAATTAGTAATATTCCATGCAACTCCAATTTACATGAAGCAGTACAACTCATCACAAATGGGTTATTGTGAGTCTAGTTTACAGGAAATAATTTTAGTATATTTTTATTGTAGGTTACGAGTTAAATGAAGAAAGATCTATATACCTCAGTTTATAGCACCTAACAGGATTCGCTATCGACCTATTTTCACTTTGGATATCCGGAAATCCACAGACTAAAACCGTAACACGATTGAGCTTCATGGATGTTTCATGTGTGGACGGCGGTTCTTGACCCGGACGGAATTTCTATGTCCCTGCCACTCATTTAATATCCAGATTACCAGACGAAGCTAAATATGTTTCACAAAAATTATAATTTGAATAGTTAGAAACAGTGGGGATCAAACCCACGACCCGTTGATTGTTAGCCATACATTGCTATCATTAGGCCAACGAGCCCGTCTAATATCATAATATACTTCCATCTCCAGCTGTCTCATGTAAAATCCAGTTTTATCTTTTAGATAAAACACTTTAACGGTTTAAAACGCGATATATATTAGTTGAAAAAGTTAATAAGTCTCTAAGTGTACTACTCGCATAAACTACAGACAGTATTTAATTATTCAGTTAATCTGTATATGAGTATGGAGCAGACACTCTTCTGTGTCTGTTCCACTGATTTACCCAGAATTTGACGTCTCGCACGTAAAGTAGGCAATTAAGTCTCGGAGACAAGCTAGCTTTAATAAATATTACTAGTATATATATATATAATTGTATATTTGCTAAGATTTAGTTGGTCTGTGCGTAATAGGCAATACGAAGCCATTCAACAAAGAAACACAAAGGATAATTTGATGAAGGTTGCCATAATAGACAGCTGTAACAAGTTACAAAGACTCGTGATAGTTTTCTTTTATCAGTCCGACGTTTTGTGGATTTCAAAAATGTTTTCTTATTTTTATTTAAAAGGTTTTTCATCTTCCATGTATAGTTAATGTACTGTAACATGTAAATGTGTTTTTCTCTTTCATTATAGCTATTATCTGTACTGTCAACGGATGAAGACCGAAATCATTATTCACTTGACAGATTCTATTTGTGATTTATTAAATTGTAATGTGCAAATGATCTGTTTGAGTCAAGGGTTTATTAACCAAAACAAAGCGTGGACCAAGAGAAATGTTACTTCGATTTCGTGTTTTGCTAGGAAGTTGATGGTGTCATGAACCTGGAGCCAACAAGCACTGGATATGAGAGGGGGTTCTTGACCCCCTCTTCTATAGTAGAAGCATGCAGACTAAACAGAAATACATATACGTAATCCATAAAGTTTCATGTATCGAGTATACTGACTGAGTGTAGTTTTACTTTGAGTATATTCGAGAGGTCGTCGACATTTTGTATGTAAATTTAAAAACTTTAAAAGTAAATTAAAACCTCCATTTTCTCTTACGTATTTTCCGCTATCATACCCGTATAGGCACAAATTAATTTACCGTCTGACGGGTGGGCCTATAGAATGTTTTCCGCATGAAAAGCCCAGCTTACCTGCAGACATGCAATACAAGTTCAAGCGCGCCCAGTGAAGGGTGATGCCAGGGTGGCAAGGCGGAAGAAATCCTCGTCAAGCCTACATCTTATACTAAAACGACGCATAAATATCTTCAACCTACATTGCTCAATATATCGCCGCCCTTGACAAACACCAGACCAGAAAACACGCAATGTATTTTCACGAAGCGATAGTCTCGCGTCTCATACATTGAACACAGGGAGCTCGCTGTGAGCTTTCAGTGTTGTTCTGAAATTCAAGGGAGGAACATTGTTCCGAGTTTCACTTTGCCTTCGAGATCGTGATAACAAAGTTTCGTGTTGAGAAATTTTAACAGATTGTTGTATAGTAGAATGTAGGAAGTGCTCATTCATATTTCAAGTTGGATGTCAGAAAGTGGTTCTGTACATAAATATTAAATTTAAGGACGCGGTATGTTATTTTGTTCACGAGTGATAAAGATAATTGATTGACGAATTAAAATGTGATGATTTTGATGGAATTTTTTATAACACGGCAATCGGTAATTTGTAGTTACACAAATTCATGAGGTCTTTTACGAATAATTGTGTTAGTATCGTGTTTTTTTGCTATTAAATAGAATGAGTGACATTAAACGTATTAGAAACATTTTTAACACTTGATTTTAAGTAATTACTCTATATAATGTAAAAATCTGTGTTAGTTTAATGCATTACAATAAGATTGTTTTTTTTATTTGATATAGGTGCGTTTAAGAATACTATACAAAGGGTCTTAATTTAACAAAATTAGATTATAGTAAATAGTTGAAATGATGATTAGGAGGTAATTTTTTAAATTAAGGAAAAACCCTAAATGGTTAAGGGAAAAAAGGGGTGAGAGGTACTTACCGATGTTTTTGGATTGTTTAAAATGTTATTAAGGAAAAAGCGTCAGTGAAAATTAAAATTATCTTCCTTTTACTAAGTCCTATTAACGTGATTATAAAAATTAAGTCAACCTTTAACTTTGATGTTTAAATAAATAATATTTTTTGAGTAAATTACGTTGCTTATCCTTTTTCGCGTTTTACTTTTCACTGAATATAGTAATAAATATTTGTTGTATCGTGATAAGTATTACTTTTCTCTTGTTTTTTTTTGTTTTTATATATAACTTTATGGATTCGTTAAACAAAGAAATATCTAAAGAATACAATATAAGCTGTTATTCATTTTGAATATTTTAGGGTGAATTTATTCTCTGTGAGTCCATATTATAAGGTAAACTTCAAGCTTATTTAGAAGATAGATGAAAATTCCTCATAGAGATCAAATAAATCCTCGTTAAAGCGCCCAGAGCTTGCACTGTTAAATCGTTTGTAGATGTAATTTTTCTCATTCCTTTTTACCTTTTTCAGATCCTTCCTCCGTGAGCTAGACTAATGGCGAAAACCTTCGTGATACACGCTTGTTTAATTTTCCTCACGTTTTGTCCAAGTAAGCAAAAATCTTTACTCAATTTTGTTTCCTGCTTTTTGCGCTTTCTAACGACTTCTCTTTAACAGGTAAAGGCACCGATCGGTGGAAAAAGGTCATACACAACTACAAACGAGATTTCAATCCACAGAAAAAGATAGGTAAGGAAAATATTTAATGGCATAGTTTGTCAGCCATTCTAATCATAAAACATATTTTATGATTTACTTACTGTAGAAATATTCATTTAAGTGATTTTAAATTAATTTATATCGAAATATTTTACTTACAGTCTGTTTATAAATTTGACCGCCTCTGTAGTCAAACGGTTAAACGTATTGCCCAGCATTGCGTTATTCGCGAGAGGTCCATGGTTCGAATCCTAGTGAAACAAAAAAAGGTTGTTCCGGTCGGGTAGGCCACACAAGTTTGATTAACTACTTGCATTTGAAAACTTTATTATTTTTTTACGTGCACAACACGTAAAAAATAATAATGTTTTCAAACAAGGCACTATATAATTTAATTTTTTTTTTCAATCTATTTTCGATTTTTAAACTACTTGCCTGTTAAAAAGAACGGTTCAGTGAAACGGACACAGAAATGTGTTCGCCCCATGCCCCACGAGGGGTAAACGAGATTTTACACCCTGTTTATAAGTAACAGTGAAACATTTTACCCACATTTACCAAATATTTTTTTACAGATTTACACAAGTTTGAAATATATGACGATTACTACGATAAGCTAGAAGATTATTCTTATTCCGATTACAGTGAAGATGTGTATAAAGAAATCAACGTAAAATTAAAAACTAAAATAGAAACAACTGAAGGCCAACATCTGAATAGAAAAAACGATATCTTTAATGCCACTCTACAAAAAGCAAGACAACACAGCAAAACATTAGTGGAGCAAAAATCGAATACTGATCTGAATAAAAATGTAATTCTAAAAATACCTTCAACGGAAAAGTGGCCAAAATTTGAGGATATCCTATTACAAATTGGAAGGAAGTATGACTGGAAGAACGATAGATGGATTAAAGTGAAGAAGAAAATTGACGCCAAGCTGAAGAATGTAAACAAGAGTGAGTTTAATGAGAAACATAGGTTTATTTATCGGATAGTGCGGTTGAATAGGCCGAAAAGTAAAAGGAACATCGTATTGGCTGTGACAGCGGTGAGATAAAGAAATGCGGATGATTCTTTGAAACATAGTAGATGGCTCAAACTTCGCGAGCCATGGGACCAATGTGAATGGAGTCGTTTGTTAAAAAGAAAAATACAAATATACATTTTAACGAAATAAAACGCGAGTTTTGTTAAGCCACAGTGCTGTCTCTAAGGATTTTATCAAGACTGTGCTTTATAACGGTAACACTTCGCGTTTTATTTCGTTAATAAACAAAATACAGGAAACCGCATTGTGTGTTCTATCATCTATGTTTTATGGTTCAGTCTTACATAAATGTATTATCTGCTGTAGCTATAAAAGGTTTATTTTAAAATATCAGTATAGCTTCGTTAAACTTAAATAATATTAATTATTGAATTGTAATAGAAATATGGATATTTTATGTTAAAAAACAATAAATGTTTGATTCAGAAGTATTTTTGTGTCATTTCATTGAGGGGTTTCCATAAATTTAAAATCGAAAATAAATTTGAAAAAAATTCGACTCGGGTAGGCATTGAACCAGCATCCTTGCTCTAAACTAATCGTGGTTGGTTAATTAAATACTATCTATAGTGTACGCGAGTAGTACACATTTAAATAAAACACTATAACGGTTTAAAGCACGATATATTAGTTAAACTTATTTGAAAATGATTTTTAATTTCGGCCCGACGTTTCGGATGCTTTGCAGCAGCCGTGGTCACGGGGAGCCCCGTGACCACGGCTTTTAAACCGTTAAAGTGTTTTATTTAAATTAATCGTAGTTGCTATAATTTAGTGATCGTTTTATGAACAGCGTGTCATAAAAATATAAATGGTTTGTAGAAAGAAGTGATTAATAAAACGCTCGATCGCACCTAATAAAAATGTTCTTCAGCCAGAACGTGCTTAAAAGGAAAACACAGGATTTATAATAAGATTAAACGTCTAAAGCATAACGGACGTGATGTTTTAGTATCAGAAGTAATTCATCAATTTTATTTTGCTCCCGACTTCAAACAACACGGAAATTAGATAAGCGTATCTAAATGTAAACAGATCTTGGATTATGCTTAACAATATTTCAAATCGACGAATACACTCTGTAATGTAGATCAAAGTATGAAGTAATTAAATGTATTATTTATTTCCTTTAAGGTAAACATCGCAAAGACATCCGTATATATCATGATACAAAATTTGACATATGTCATCAATATGAATACCACACATATGGTTTGCGTGGTAAATACTCATATAATTCTATCTTAGAAGACCCTACCTATAGATAGTATGAGTACCTAAAAAATAAATAACTAGGAAGAGTCCGGTTATCAGTAAATACTTAACTTGTGAAAAAAAAATGAAATTAATTAATTAATTATTTATTTTATGAAAAATAACAATACTATTTTACTGTTACACACCTACAATTAAGACAATTTAACAATATATTTTATATTAAATGTACTGCAGAGAGTATTGAAAACTGATAAAGCTTGTGTTCAAATTTTAAATCCTATAATGTTTGAATAACAATTACCACTTACACTAAAATAGATACACAACACTATGACAGTACATTGTTTTGATGTGAAAGTGACTATTAAGTATTGTATGTAGTTTACGCGACTACAAATATAATTCAAAATTTGTTTAAATGCGAAATATATTAATAAATTAATTTACTATTTACGGTCCGACATTTCGGGTGCTTTTCAGTGGCCGGCCACTTTTAAATGAATTTACAAAGCTATTTCGCGTTCTAAACCGTTAAAAAAGTTGTATTTTCTACTTGCATAAACCACAGACAATGCTTCACATAAATGTTGTTGCAAAATATTCTAGAACATCCATTAACTCTAAGGGTTCAAGCCATTTCAATAAGATAACAGATGGTAAAAACCAAGTGTTTGTAAACATGTTCCTTCTAAAAGCTAGCAATTTATCTTAGCCATATGCTCCCATTGTGTGGGTCTGTACAATAAAAATCTGTGATAATAAACTTGTAAAAAACAATGGACGTGTTCTGGGCCTGTACGTGATACGAATAGTGTTAGGGGATATGTGGAATTTATGATATTTTTACGACCCTTTTTGTTGCGAACAAACTTGTTAGTTTATTCAGTCAAGGGAAAGATCTTGATCTCGAATTATTTTTAGAAGGACAGTTACGTTTATTCGGTTAAAGGGTTTGTTTAAAGATAAAATTTATTTAATAAATTGAATTACATAGGCTACATATCTATACTAAAATAAAAAGCTGAAGAGTTTGTTTGCTTGTATGTATGTTTGAACGCGCTAATTTCAGGAACTATAAGTTTGAATGGAAAAAATCGTTTTGTGTTGGTTAGAACATTTATCGAGGAAGGCTATAAAATATTGCCCTGTGACAAATACAAGCGAAAAAATATTCTTATGTTTTTCCTAGGCGTATGCTGCAAAAACAGTTCAAGAGGACAAACATATGTAAAAAATAATGATTCCTCTTTAAATGATCTTAAAAAAAAGTTCGGAATGCTATATGTTTATCTTTTAAGATACCTGCGAGAACGACGGGAAGAAACGCGACCAACGTCGTAGTTGCAAAAACGAATTTGGATGCCCAAAATAACGATTCTCGCGAAGTCGCTGACACAGCTAGATGTATATAAAGCCTATGTATTTTAATATAGTTATTTCTTAAAATTGACAATCTCTTTCACGCCAAAGATTAGATAAGGTAATCCTTAATTTGTGAAAAAAATATTTAACATTCTAATTTACAATAAGTCCAATCTATAAGATTTCAAATTTTATGAGAAAACCCAAATTTCTATTACGTGTATCACAATCATACAATTCACATTTTATTTTTATAGATATAATATAATATGTTTGATATATATGTGAAATACATGAGATATTGAAAGAAAATATATGACAGGGGATGGTATTATTAAAATACTTTTATGAAAACCTTCATCACAATATATACGGGACTAGAAAAGTACGAATTCCCTACCAAAGCGCTACGTATTATTATTTTTATGAAAAAGTTTTCACTAGATTCGCAAAATATAAATCATAGAGATAAAGTATGACTTTCGAACCTGTCATTGAAATAGGTTCTCAATATTAATAACTTGAATGGAAAAGTCTGTTTGAATTAGTAGGTACTATGGATACAAATATTACCCAACAATATTTTAAACAAAGAAAGGATTTCGGCCGGCAATTAATGTTTTGCGAGGTAGCTCCTCACATGTTGGATTCTATTAACCCCAATAGCATAGATCAGAAACAATACTGCTTAAGAAACCCTGTCAATAGAGAAGCTCAAATATCAACGTCAGTTTCTGAAAATTACATAAACACAAAACAGATTTTTTTAAAAGCTACCGGAATAAACCACGATGAAGGTGGATGGCCTAAAGATATACATTATGACGACGAAGAAGCTACCTCGCGATATCGCCGTCGCTTCGAAAGGGATGATGGATATGTCGACGCCATTAAAAACCTCAATCCTGAATTTGAACATTACATAAAACAAAACAATGCCATAGAAATGTATAATATGTATTTCAAAGAAATAACCAGCGAAAAACCAGTTGAGAAGTTTTCGATTAAGATCAATAGTACTTACAAAGATTACGACAGTCGACCCGTAAGTGATATTTGTTGGACTTACGAAGATAAACCCAAACTAGCAGTGTCGTATTGCGATAAAGCATATCCCGTTTTGCAGGTTAGGAATAACAATTTTATTTGTTATGTGTGGGATATTGAAAATCCAAGTGAACCGTACTTACGTCTATATCCCCAAGCTGCTTGTTGGCAACTTGTTTCGTCGCCTGCATCTCCAGATATGTTTATTGGAGGCCTTGCTAATGGTAAAGTCTGCATTTTTGATATACGTGCGCAAAGCGAAGCCGTTCAAATTAGCCCAGAGCATCTTGCGCATAGGGATCCAGTTAGTTCCCTATTATTTATACCTTCTCGCCTTAATACGGAATTTTTCAGTGGCTCTACTGATGGGTTATGTTTGTGGTGGGATGTCCGTAACATTTCTAAAGCAACAGAGTCGCTATTGATGTCTATACGAGTACCGTTTGGAGAAACTTCCAATTTCACAAATTCGGAAGGTGTAAGTGCTTTGCAATACGATCGGTCATTCCCCACGAAATTCTTGTGTGGAACTGATACTGGTTTAGTTATATGTGTTAACAGGAAAGGGAAGAGCCACAACGAAATAATGAGCGCTGTTTTTAATGCTCATAGCGGCCCCGTGAAAGCAGTGTACAGAAGTCCATGCACTTCCAAAGTTTTCATCACATGCGGGGACTGGAAAGTGAACGTTTGGAATGAGGATGTTCGTTCATCACCGATCATTACTGGGATGCCGCATCAATATCAAATAAACGACGTTGTTTGGGCGCCTAAAAGGTACTCAGGATATATGTCTGTATCGTCCGATGGTAAATTTCGTTACTGGGATCTTTTACGTAAGTACCAGGACCCTCTTGCAGTTATGCCCGTCTCCCAACATGCTCTACTGAAGATAAAACCCAATGAAGACGGACAATTTGTGGCTATTGGGGACTCAAAGGGGTTGTTGAATCTTCTGTCACTGTCAGAACTACTGGTTATATCTGATGAAAGTGATAAGCAATTGATGAATCAAACTTTTGATAGAGAGACTAGAAGAGAACATATACTAGAGACTCGAGTAAAAGAAATAAGAGTGAAATTGAAAGCTGAAGAAGAGAAAAAAGATGATACAGAAGTAGACGTCGTAAATGAGGATACTTTGCTTGCATCAATGGAGGAGGAGTACAGACGCATTGTGTCTGATGAATGGCGTAAGATTGGAACCACTCCTATAATGCGAGATGTTAAGAAAATGAGAAAACGTTAGATAATTTGTTTTTAAGTTTTCTTTACGCTAATTGGTTTAGGAGAACTTATTTATTTAATTATTTAAGAAGAAACGATAACTTTAAGTTTTATGTTCAAATTATATAAATGTTCATTTTAAGCATTTTTCATTATTGCAGTGTAGAAGAACATTGAGAAGCTGTCTTATATTGAATTTATATGACATTCATAATAATTATATAATATGGTGATACATTATAATAAAGCAATATCTAAAAATATTCGCGTGCGATAAAATCCTTTTTAAAAACAGCAGTGAGTGAGAAAAGTCGGATTATTTTCTTATTAAATTTTTTAAAGGTTTTATTTATATTACTTATTTTCAATTATGACCCAAAATGCAGGATGTTTTATAGCCGCCGTACCCTATAAACTGTCGTTTTAAATACTGTCTGTAGTGGACGCGAGTAGTATACATTTAAATAAAACACTATAACGCGATAAATATTAGTTAAACTTGTCATAAAATTATTTTAACTACGGCCAGACGTTTCCCCTGGCGTCGCCCCGTGACCACGGCTGCAGCAAAGCACCCGAAACGATGGGCCATAGTTAAAATCATTTTTAAACAAATTTAACCATCTATATATGTATATATATCGCATTGTTTTATTTACAATCTTAAGATTGTTTAAAATATTTGTCTAAGTCCGTACCACTGCTTGTCGCACGAGAATTACTTGGTAGGCAAGGCTCAAGTTAATAATTATTGTCCTCTTAGGTTTAATTACTATTAGTAGCCATTAGATAAGTAATGTAATATGCTCAAATGGCACTCAACACCCATTAAGCCTCCTTTGATCAATTTACTTTAATTAATAGAATTAACCCCGACTACCCCTTTGCCTGAGAATCGTACGATATTTTCCTTAAACTCGTCATATAATGTGTGTATATAAATAATAGCTATGCCAGAGACTTGCGTAGAATAGTTATTTTGGGCATCGAAATTTGTTTTTGCTTTCTCATATTAATAAATTTAATAATTTATGAACAGCAATCTTTTACCTAAGTACGTTGTCTGTCGCGTCTCGTAGTTCTTGCAAATTAATCTTAAAATATGGATATATCGTCGATCCGAGATAAGCGCGTTCAAACAAACAAACTCTTAATAATCTTTTTTATTTTAGTATAGAAACTCAAATCTTTATCTTTATTAATCAGAGTGTTTTTAAATAAAACGTTAATATAATTTAATATAATTTTGTTCACCTAACGTTTTGGAAGCTATATTGCAGCGCTATAGACCGTGACCCCGTTTTAAACCGTTGTACACGTTTTATTTAGTCTATTATGTATTATACTTATTACAAAGAACATTATTACGAATACCTTATATTATCTTTAGTATACGTAACCATCTAGATTCAGCTAGTACAATATTATTTACATGAATAGATAATTTTAGGTATTTTTTTATTAAAATGAGAAAGAAACTGGTGCTGCCAGAAAAGTCGATTTGCAATGTTGTTGCAGTATATAGAGAACGGGGGTTAGTACTTCTTATCTAACATATTTTAAAATAAATTGGTACTACCAATTTTTATTATAAATGGTCATGTCTCTAAACTGATAATAAACTTAATAATCTATAGTAATATCATAGAGATTGTTTAAACGCACTTATCTCAGTAACTAACTAAGGTTGGAATTTAACAATTATCTGTGGTGGTTAGAACATTTATCAATAAAGACTTTAGATTATAAACCATCATACGACCAATACGAGCGTAGAAACAGAAGAAAATATGAAAAAACAACGGGTATAACTATTCAGCTGTGTGCGCTACGAAAAGTGTTCATGATACCCAAAAGAATGTTTACTTTTCAAACGATCTAAAAAAATGTCCATTACAGTAGTATGTCTGTTCTTTACGATTAACTTGCAAGAACGATCGCAAGCGAATGACGTCGTTGGTAACAGCCAGTTACTAAACTAAAAGTTAGCAGAAAGATTTCATTTTTAGCGTATCTGGAAGTAGTCTATAAAACGAAAACAATAAAGAAACGAAAAAAAAAAATTATTGACAGTAACAGCAGAGAGCTTAGGGAAATATTTAAATGGAATTAATTAAAATCGCGAGGTGAACAGGCTTATTAAATTCAAGCGCCATTTATATTTAATTTAAAAGAAAAACTCACGAGTTTAATGCAATGGCGCGTTAACTTAGCTTGTCTTCGTTGTAAACATAGTGTGATGAATACCTTTAAAAACAGATTCAAAAAAATAATTAAAAGTTCCTAATTATTCAACAGCTCACATATTCTCAGTATCTTCATACTAAAAGCTTAATTGAGTACTTTAGATGATAATAATTGCATAGTAATATCAAAAATTCAGTCATGGCGACTAAGTTGTCATAAAATACGAATTTCACTTAACAGTTTTTCTGTGCACGACGGTACATGACTTGAACAATACTAACTTACTAACACCTATAATGTTCAGATTCGACGGGGTCTAATTTGTTTAAGAAAAAATACAAAACGATTAACCCACGATCCGATTATAAGTCATATATGTATGTATGTATGTAGCCCTAATATTCATTAATGTTAAAAATGTTACTTTCCTTTAAAATAATTTAATCGATAAAAATTAAGTACATACACGATTTTATATCTTGTAACCTTAAAGCGGAAGTTTTAAGATTGGAATTACATTGCGCGGGAGGTGCATGTATCAATAGGTTGAAAAAAAACGACGATCACGTCATATAGGACTCGGTAGCTTGGTTAGAGCAACAGCAAGAAACGCTATGGATGCCGGTTCTGCCCGGGTCGTAATTTTTCAATTTATAATCGGTTTTTTTGATTCTTATTTATTCACTTTGGAACAGTTTTTTTTTCTCTCTTATATTTATCTTATAAGTATCATTACACAACACACGTTGACATAATCAATAACGATCTGCATAACTCAAAAAGTAATACGTAACTATTAATTGTATATACTTTGCAGAAATTACTTGCAGCGCTCAGAGCAATTTGAGAAAGCAATCCTAGCGTACAACGAGGCCTTACGTTGGAATGTAAGTATATGCTATACAGCCTTCATACGCCGTGCAAAATGCATGAGTTGCTACCTTAATTAATAATTCAGGCCGACTCTTGCTTGGCTACGTCTTAGTTCGTATCTCATCGTTATAGAATTTGAGGTTTATATTTTTCATCTAGCCTCTGAAGCCAAACAGTAAGCATGTTGCATTCTGTTAAGCACGAGAAGTCCTCGGTTCGAATTCCGGGGAAACAATAGATTGTTTCCCCGGGATTCGGTTCACAGATGTCTGATTAACTACTTGCCTGTAAATAAAACCGATTAGTGAAACGAACAGAGAAATGTGTTCGCTCCTTGCTCCACGGGGGGAAAAAGGGAGTTTACTGTGAACTTTACTAATCGATGAAATGTTAATGTCTTAATAAATGTAAATATCTTTTAATGTATATCTTTTATAATATTGCTGTGTAACTTGTGACATTGGATACGACTGAATCTAAATAAATTTTATCGTGATCTACTACTACTACTAATGTGCAGGTTCTACGCGTAAACTATAGACAATACTAAATTTAATAATCTAGAGGTTACAATGTTAATTTTCCAATACTTCCATCTTCAAAATACTGGAAGAAAAATCTGCATTCCAGACGAAATAGCTATTAACAGAAGCCACTTTTAGAATAAACTACCGCCACCTAATTAAGTCGGAGGCAAGAAGAGCTTTGAGCTAAAAGGAGCAATTGCATTGCTCTTTTTGAGACTAGAAGCACCTAAAACTAAGTACTAATAAGTGGGAACTAACGTAGTATGACTAATTAATAGAAAGCCTTCGTTCTTAAGATTATCGCACGGGCTAATGTAAATTTAGAGACAGATACTTGCAAATAATATGAAAATATATTTTTTGTGGGATTTTTACACATTATGGGTTGCGTTATTCGTGATAGCGACTTGAGTTCTAGTATTCGAATGAACACATTTCATTGGAAGCCTTAAAATTCAATTAAACGCAATTTTAAAAAACTACTACTTATTTTAAAACAAATATAAGACGATGAGCAAACGTATTATTTATATAAATAAAGTCATTACATAAAAAACTTTTGACGGTTTCAAACGCATTTAAAAAGAAAATAAACTACGGCCCGACGTTGCGGACGTTTTCTTGGTCACGGGGGGATTGAGTTATAGTTCACGATTACATTTCACTTTTTTAACAGTTAATATTTTTTATTGAAATATAAAGCTTAATTTATAAAATATTAAAGAGCAAATTTAAGTCTAAAGATTATTTTATAAATAAAATATATAAATCAAATCTAGTTATTTTCTCGTTATCCACAACTAAAAATTATGATATCGCAAATATACATTTCTCAAATGGAGGAGAAGTGAAATTTATTTCATAACTTCCACGTCGCCAATAACACCTTATGAAAAATTACAGTAGTTTCTATCTTAGTTCGTATAAACAGGGGTATTAGGTACGTGAGTCACAATCCCCCAATTTGTTTGGAATAAGCGATTCCATTATCTTTTCTGGGCTAAAGCCAACTCTATCTGTAAAGGTATACATTGTTGAATTATTTAAGAGCGGTGGCGAAGGTTTTCTTCGAGTTAAAAGGTCAGTCCAATAGTCCGGTGCTGACGAAAACTCGATAAATATTTTGAATTGCTATTCCATCAAGCTTCATATTAAGTTTTTCTTTTAGTTTTCATATTTGAGCATAGTTAATATTTTGGAATAACAACAGACCAAACAGAAAAATTAGTTTTTTTATACTTAATTCTATAGATACCTACTTTTGTCTGTAGTTTACACGAGTGCCTCCCCACGACCACGACAGCTGCAAAGCATCGGAAACACCGGGCCGTAGTTAAAAAGAAATTTAACTAAATTATATCACGTTTTAAACCGTTAAAGTGTTTTATTTAAAAGATACCAACTTCTACTTTATTATTTTTCTCTCATTATTTATTAGTCTCTCAGTACCTTAAACCTTGGTTAAAAACTCAAACACCTCTTGGTAATCAATGCATTTTTTGTATAATTTAAATGTTACTATGGTTTTAACCCTACATATATATTATATTTGTAGTGATGTAATTACGTATAGGTTAAGTACTCGTATATTAACCTAGTAATAAACAAAATAAAATGTCTACGATTAGGAAAGTACTGATAATTAAGAAACACGTGTGACTTTTATTGAACAATAAAAGCTTATCTTTTAATTTATATTTTAATGGAAGAATTATATAAAGTTGCTTTTATTTTTAGAATGCTGATGTGCGGTCTCTCCTAGGGAGAAGTTTAGCAAGAGCAAAGGCCACGCATTATGGGAGTGCTTTACAGGACGCGGCGTGTGCTGCTGGTAACAAATATTGTTCCTTTATCACACAAGGCACGAAGCTGAGGGTTAACTTAGGTTTTAAGCTTCACGTGCTCTATTTGGAGATATTTTCGGAAAGAATGTTTAAGAACAAAGTCTTATTAAGTTGCTCCAATACATGGTGGGTACAACAATATCTACATTAGTGCTGGTAACCGAAAAAACAAGCGCCAATCCTACCACAGGCTCACAGGCAGTGCTTATCTGCCCTCTATAATAAATATAATTTTTCCATATAACCCAGCATCGGGCATTAAAATTTTCTTGATACAGAGCTAGAACCAGAAAACCCGACGGCTCTCCAGATCCGGGCGCAAACGAATTATGAGAAATGTGCATTTGAAAGAGCGTTTGTGCTCGCGTGCCGGGGACAAATGCTGCGGAAATATCCTTCCAACTTCGCGGAGTGCGCGCGCTGCGCTGAGGAAACGGTATCATTTATTTGAATTAAGTCCCGACCATAACTTATTCCTTTTGTACTCGAAAAGTATCTGAAAATCCGTTGTCTAATACTGCCTGTAGTACACATTTAAGTCACTTAAACGATTCAAAACTTATGAAACGTCGGGCCGTAGTTAAAATAATTTCCAAATATTCTTAACTTATATACATCGCGTTCTAAACCGTTAACGTGCTTTATTTAAATTGTATGTTTCTAAAGTCGGTTTACTGACGATAGTTGAATGTGGCAACATCATAGGAAAATATTTTAAAATTTTGATTACATTATTATATAGTAGCTATTAGACGCATTGCTTACTCAAGCAAGAAAGAGACCGATTGTGCGTCTTTGTCTCTCGTTACGTCTACTCGCTTGCCTTAAATAGAACGCCGCATGCGTCTTGTTTTTTCCTATGTCATCCAGCCAACCATCAAATCATATGAGGTTGTCACGTCAATAATAAAAGTAACTCACGAACAACGTTTAAGGCATTTTTCGGCAGAACCTTTCTTTTTCTTCCTCGAGATAGGCACTGTGAAAAGAATTAACAAAATATATTTTAGATCCGAGAATGTACAGGAAAAAGCGCCACCAAAGTACTATCGCTAGCGAAAAAGCTATGTAACAATGACTGGCGTAGAGGCTCTGAAACTATATGTGACACAAATGTACTCATACGTAAATCGAGGCTGCAGCCAGAACAAACTCATTACGTACGTACTTAACTTTAAAACTTTTAAAAGCTTCTAGATTGGAGTTGGACTTCCGTTGAAAAGGTTTTATACCGAAATTAAAAACGAAAAAAAATATTCACATTATTAAATTTGGAAGGTATAACACTATCTGTAGTTTACGCGAGTGGTACGCACTAAATAAAACACCTCAAAGGTTTAAATTTTATATATTTACGGGAAAACCCCCGTGACCTCGGCTGCTGCAAAGCATCTGAAACGTCAAGCCAAAGTTAAAATAACTTGTAAACAAGTATAACTAATATATTTTGCGTTATAAACCGTTAAAGTGTTATATTTAAGGTATAATATATTTATGAGAAAATCACAACTGTCTCTCGCTTTATTATGCTGGCCTGGTGACAGACAGAGTAATACAAAATCGTAAATGGGATTTTCGAATATTTTTATCGTTTATTAGATTTTTAAACTAGTGTCACATTTATTCTTCATCAGAAGGTTCTATATGCTTTTAAAGATCTGGAAGGGAGCCAATCGTATTACTCAAACTTAACTAGAAGAATAAATTGGAAAAACTTAATATGAGACTGTGAAAATGTTATCTATATTTAAAAAAACTTAAGATAACGTACTACCTCTCTCTAGATTATTAAAGTTATAACTAAAATGTCTGCGGAAAAAATGGCGAAGTTTTAAATCTCAAAAAATGCTTACTAAGCACAATTTTTCTTACTAACGTTTAGCATAGAAATTTCTAAGCATCGTATTGACAATTTATCATACGTGCCCATCGTATATCAGCCTCATAGCTAACCAATACTGTCATTTTTAGATGAAAAATGATTCAGCATTTGTTTCTAATACTTTGAATAAAACAGTGAATTTATGTTGACGACGTGTTGATCCCTTTTTGTTTTTCCGATCAGTTTTCTTGGCTCCACCAAAACTAACAATATATCCATAATAATATAATTATACTAATTATTATAGATATAACATTTTTATATAAAATTAGACAATTGAACTAATGTGGTTGTAAGTGTATGTAAAAAAAAAATATCGGCTTTAAAGGAATGCAAGCATTTATTTATTAAGCACCGGTGGTTATAATAGAAAGTTTTTATTAAAATTTGATAACGAGTCATATGATAAAGTTAGAAAAATATATACCAAATTGTACATACTTCTAAATTACTAGAATTGCAGTTTCATTAAATTGGAGATTATAATTTAAACTATTGGGTTGTTCGGAAAGTCATTTCGTTTTTTTTGGGAACATGAAAGACAGTTATCATATAATTAATAAATATTTTATTAAATTATATATTGGCCATTCTGGTCCAACACCTTTTACCATCTCGTGTGGTTATTCGCCGATTTGCATCAACTAATGCCTTTATCGCATCTTTGTCAGCTTCGACCGCCCTTCCCGACCGTGGTGCATTTTCGACATCAAACATGCCGGATCGAAATTTTGCAAACCAGTTCTCGCACTGGCGTACTATTAACACGCTTTTTCCATACACATCAGTCGATTTTTTTCGCTTGGACAGCATTTTTACCTTTTCTGAAGTAAAAAAGTAAAATATGACGAAAATGCTGCTGAAAAACTAAAGAAAAACTACTGTGTAGAATTAATAGAACTTTTTCACACACAAGCCTTGCAATATCAGCTCTCATATAATGGTTATTCGGCTTAAGTGTGAAGTTGGTTTCGAAAAATCGTAATTAAGTTATAATTTAAAAATCGATAATGAACTGAAAAAATTTTAATTTTTCATCGTCAGAGCAACAGTATGGAACGCTGACGATGCCGGTTCAAGTCCTGCCCGAGTCGAAAATTTTTTTCAATTTATTTTCGATTTTTAAATTATATAGTGCCTTCATGAAAAATATTAATATTTTCAAACGTAATTAAGTCCTCTCGAAATGACTTTCCGAACAACCTATTATATTTAATTTATAACTTTACTCTTATCATCACGTTACTTATAGGTCGAAGAAATATCTCGCGTGGAAAAGCAAAAGTCAGAACGCATATCCCGCTTAATGGCTTCTAAATACCTGGAGCAAATGGCTCATGATAAATATTTCCTTACTCAGCTATGTAAGGACGAACGCCTGTGTTCAGCGAATAGGCATGGCTCGAAGAAATTGCAGGAATTAGCAAATAAAGCGTTGGCTGACGTGGAGAAAAGACAGGTGTGGATTTAATTTTCTATAACTAAGACCGTTACGCATTCAATTGATGGTATTTTATATAGATAGATTCCTATATAAGCTTATAACAATGTATTAAAAGAGTTTAAAACCCAAATTATATGTGAAGTTACATTTATTGTTTCTGGCGTTTTAAGGACCTCGATCGAAAGGTCTCTCCATGTTCCTCGAAACAGTACAGTCCTTTACATTTTACCCTTTTTAAGCATTCATTCATGTTTTTTTCTTATTATAAACCTTCAAATGTGACATTTGTTATATTACGTAAGATGTGAACATTTTTTATTTTATTATTATTTTCTATTTATATCAAATAACGTAATCATCTAATTTCATTTTTTATAAAAATAACATTAATCGATTTTAATTTTATAATATTATTATAGATATATTTAAGAATTTTCAAAATATATTACAATTTTATTCGAAGGAAATGTAAAAAGTAATATAAATAAAATTCGCCATGTATTTTATCTGCGTTTTAAAATAAGCACACATAATTTGACAGGAAGTCTTACGAGAAAGAAGACCTTTGTACGCAGCTCGGGCTTCAGAGGCGGAAGCCAGAGAAAGACTCTCAAGAGCTCGCAAAGAACGAATGGGCAACGCCCAAAGACAACATATAGCGGACGCGGAAAGATTAGTTCGCGCAGCACAAACCGTCTTCGAGGAACACAATACAGCAAAATGCTTAGAGATAGCTGAGTTCGCTATGGAACAAATTTCAAGGAAACCGGCTAGCTTATTACCGGAGAAAGATAAGTTCATTCAGGAGTTGCAAACTATTGTTGCGCAGGCATTCCTAGATCAGGTGTGTATAATCTATGTTCGTGACATAAATAGTCAAAAACAATTTTAGGATGTGTTAGTTGCGTGACGAATACGACAATTAGGTTATAAAATGTCAACAATATTTAATAGCATACATAATTAGAGCGTAATTATTTTAGAAATAGCTTTAAAATTATATCAACACGACTTTTTGTTTTAATTACTTTTTAATATACGTCAGCGATATAAAACAACTAAAGATATAGTGTGAAAATTGCTTAGTATTTAATTTATATTGAAAAATTTTCTTTTTTAAAATGAATTCTTCTATATATTAAATATATACTATGATAGACGTAATAGGAGATAATATACGAAACATTATCTTCAATTTTTGTTCGAGAATAATGTAGATATTAATGTCAGTTATAATTTTGTTTCAAGAGCCAATTTTTGGGATAAAATATTATTTATATTATTATTATTTTAATATAACTATTATGTCTATGTTAACATATTATATTATTGCTATGCCTAACTTGAAACCATCAGATTGTGTATCGTTTAAAAAATTTAGCACGAAGCGTTAAAAGTTTCCAAATTTCCTATGTCATAATTTATTTAGGCGCAATTTCAAAAAACGGGAACACCTACAGCGTGTTCGGCCTATACAGTATTTCACTGATTTTATTCTGAAACATAAGTGATACGAGAGAAAACGCTTTGTATACCTTTGTCAACGTTTGATGGAGATAGACGTTTCCAGAAGAGCAATCAAAAGAGAAAAAGGTGAAAAAAAGAGGTTTAATATACCAGTAACATTTTGCCATACCTTTATATGCAACAATTAAACTTGAGTTTTGAGGATAAAGTGGATCTGCCTAATTATGATATTATGCTTTTTAGTGTAACAATTGAGGCAGAGTAGCCTAACTGCAATATAATACTAAAAATGTTAACCTACAAGAGCACAATGGCCGGAAATAGTTGACAAAATTTTAAAACAAATAATATTAAAATTAATTTTTGCCTAATAAAGGAGGAAAATCGTGTTGTTTTGTTATTAGGCCATTCTGCCTCTAGCAGCCTCAATGGATTCCTGGATGTGTACTGTCACGTATATTTAGTGCTCTAGTTATCATCTTATATTATTGAAAATTAATAATTCTTTCACAGAAGCGAGTCAAACACGAAATGAGTGAAGCCAATCGTGAGAATAGGGCTTTTATACTCTTGGGTATTGCCATTTCTCGAGAGCCAAGTCGCGACTCTGTTTTGCGTGTTCGTCCACCTGCACCGCCTAGAGACGTCAAGTAATATTATATTATATTATGTTAATAATGCATAGTAGCAAAGTACGCATTCTGTCGCGAATTAGACTAGTGTCATAGTCGTTTTCAAAGTTCTTAAAGTATTTAAATAAAACACTTTAACCGTTTAAAACGCGATATAGTCTATTTAAACTTCTTTGAAAATTATTTTTAGCTACGGCCTGACGTTTCGTATGCTTTGCAGCGGTTGTTTGAATGTTAAATACTATACGCAAATAGTACATATTTAAATAAACACTTTAACGGATTAAAAGCGCTATATATTCTTCTCATTATTCTCATTATATCGCGTTTTAAACGGTTAAAGTGATTTAGTTAATTGTTTGAAAATTATTTTTAACTACGGCCCGTTTAAACCGTTAAAGTGTTTTATTTAAATGTGTACAACTAAGAGTATTTAGACCTTAAAGTACTCTTTAATTTATTTTGCTGTCGTTACAAAAAATAATAATACTTTCTCATTAAGAATAATACCCCGTTATCACTACTGCGAAAAAGCAATCTTCTAAAATGTTTCGGATAAGTTTTGTTTCATTTTCAGTTCCTAGTATTTAATTCAGCGCAACACTACAGTCTCGTAGCGTTATGCTACGCCGTAGCACTGAATAGATATTTGTGCTACGGAGTAGGATTATTTTTAGTTGCTTTTATTTACTAATCACTCTTGAATTCTAGTTTGATTTTCAATTTTTTAAATTCTAAAATAGTATTTATATCTAAAAGTGTCTTTTATTTGCAGATAAGCTCTTTGTTTATTACAATTCTATAGAAATACTAAAACAGTTATGAGTACTAGTTATAACTACTTCTTACTTCCTATATAACTTTTAATCTTATGACAAATGGTAACCTAACATTAAAAGATAAACATTTTATTTTTAAGTTAAATAATTTAAGAAACATCTTAGTAAGCCGAAGATTGTTTGAGATTCAACATTTTATACTATTCTTTACTTATTACTTATTAATTCCTTAATAATTTTACATACTAGTCGGATAGTTTTTGGGACTGACCTAATTTAAACAATCTTTGCATCTGTATACTATTAATATTAATGTTTGTTTTCAGACGTCGTTTGCGTATATTAGAGCGAACATTATCTCAGAGTACTCGAGCTTCAGAACGATGTTATGTCTTACACGAGCTCTGTCGTTTGCATGCAGACACTAAACAAGCGCATAGAGCTAAATTTTACGCTTTGAAATGTCAGTCAGGTAATTGATAATTATTATTGGTTATGGATCAGCTCATAGCAGTGTTGTATAGGTAATAATCAACGGGTTTAGGTTCGATCGGGTCCCCCACCGCACCGAGACCAATATTTATTCATTAACTCTTTATTGCAACAAACACACACAAGCTATATCCAAATGTGTCCTAAATATACTCTTAAAATATAACTATTAGAGAAAATATACATTATTAATAGTTATGGAGTGGAAACCTTATTGCTATAAAGTGATCTCTTTTATTTATTACACTGAAAAATGGTGTATTGGAAATCTAGATATGATTGGGGAGGGACATCAAACGATATAATAACACACAGATAAAAAAGACGTTAACTTTAATCACGATTTGGTTTCCAAATATCCAAAGCCAAAATATGTTGACAGCTTATATTTGGATATTTCACCTTCCATCTAGTGAACCGTATGCTGTTAAGTCCTCCTCTATGATAAAAACATAGATACATATATGTCTAGTAGTATGAAGCTCCATTCAATCTTCTTTATAAAGCCAGTTTATAGTTTAAATAATTATTCTACTAATTTCTTTTAGTACTGCTCAGTATGTTTGTACAGTAGTTTGAAACAAATTACTTTAAAAATATAATGGCTAGCTAAAAGCATGACTTGGTTTGTTTGCGTTTGACATTATAGTAATTACGTTCTAACTACTCTTTAATTAATATTTAACTAGCTTGAAAATAGCCTTTATTTCATTGACGCCATTTGAAACATATTGCTTTAAAGGGGGGATACAAAAATATTTTCTTAGTTTATGGTTGACGTTTTATAGCTTTTGCTCTATGATCGTCGCGTAATGCACTCATAGTAATTCTTAAAGGGTTTATATTGAGGTAAAGGGGAAGAAGATATTAAACAGTATTATTTTATGTGCACTGCATTTTTTTTTAATTTTGACATGATCATCATGTTTTACTACTGTAGCCCTATCATTGGATACCCATATTTAACCCAGGGGATGAAGGAAAAATATGTAATCCGCCATTTTATATCTGCGGCCATCTTGGATTTATAATGTTATTGTTTTTATTATATAGTATTGTCATCTTAATTAAATGTGTGTACCAAATTTCAATGAAGTTCAATAAAACCTTTTAAAAAGTAACAGTAGTTTGTACAAAAGCTTCCCACAAAACAATCCAAGGCTTGAAAATTTTTAATTAAGAATCGATTTTATGTCCTATTAAAAAAAAACGATTTTTAATCCAAGTAAAGCTTTTATTATAATCAAACGAAGTACAAACCAACTATATTGCTAATACATAGTTTATTTTTCTGAAAGAGATTCTAAGGGCAGCTTCAGCCTATTTATTTACGTAATACATTCAATACGATAATAATAAAATATATCTAGATAATTACGAGTCCAGTTCTTAATTAATTTCAGTTAATGGAAACTGAAAATTTCCCTGATAAAACATTTAGGTCACGAAGCTAATCTAAGAAAATATTGTTTTGACAGAGGCGAGGTCATCAAACCAGCGGGTCTGGTTGCTAAACATAACGTTCCTGCTGGCTCGTTGCCACTTGCTTCAGAATAATCGGCCGGAAACAAGGGCCGCTCTCATTGAGGGCGCCGGATTAGCGCGCGTTTATGGCTATCGTGACGTCGCGGATTTCTTTGATACGGTTATATTTATTTTTAAATATATTATTCAACTTACAGAATTTTAACATCGCTAATCACAATGATAGCGAACTGTAAAATACATTCGGCAAAATTACTTATACATATTATAATGTTCACCTTTTTCTAGAAATTACATCAAAATTTACAAGACCCACATAAAATTTGCTTTACATATTCACTTCTGTGTTCGTTTCAAAATCATATAAAAAATTACTGTCTTTGAAAACTTTAATATTTTTCACATGGTGGCGTTATCTACATAATAACTATCGATTCTTCATAATGTTATAATCTTTTTCGAAATTCGAAACCAGGATAGGTCATTCCTAATTTAACGAGAATTGTATATAACCAAAAATGCAAAACACTTTAAATCTCGTAAAAATAAAAATTTAATTTAAAACTTTTAGTGTGTAAATGTATCTATGGAAGGGGAAGTGGCGTCAAATGATGCAGTTCTTGAGAAACGTGAAAAAGCTGTGGTCAGTCTTATGCAGGATGATGACATGCGTATGGCAGCTGAACACCTCTTTAGGAAGATGTCCGTCATACCGGCATCAAGGTATATCACAAACACTTTCATAAGGGAGTGTCAATTTTAGGTCACAAACAGACGATGGGTGTCAGCCAAAATATCGCCCCAATTTTTCCTACAAGAAGTATCTTTTTAGTAAACACTACATCAAGAGTATAAATGACAGTTAGAATAGAATAATAATTATTTAGAGTATGTACCCTGTCTTAGTTACGCTTAATATAGCTATAAATACTGTCTAATAATAATAAAAAGTACAAAGGAAGTCCTTAGAAAGATAATTTATGACTTGACCCAAAAAAAACAAATTAAATCTTACTGAAAAATTGTTTTTGTATAAACAGTGTATGTGGTTTTAAGTGATATTATAAACTTTACGATAATGTTTGCGTGTTTAGTGATGAAAGCATAGTTGTAGAGCGTATTAGAGTTTGTCTAAGTTCCTATAAGCTTCTTAACGTGACGTAACAATAACGAGAATTTAAAACAAAGTTTAGTATAAAATTCGCTGTACCTTATCAAAAATCCCAGGTAAGGTATAAAATTTGCTTAGTTTGTGAAGATAATATTTTTATTCTACCAGTTACCTAACAGTTTTGTTAAATCTGTGTTCTTAATTTTATTTTGGTAGAAGTATTTTTTAGTATTGTAAGGGTAAAAGAGTAACAACGATTTTGTAATAACGGACTTCTATATTATTCTATATTATTACTGTACTTAAGTATTGTGTTAATTTTAGTTTCGGATATATAAAGATTATATATCATTTAGACATAATTGATACATATTTTTGTCGTACGTACTTCAATAAATAGGTTATAATAATAGATATGCTAACCTAAATAATTGCTAGTTTTACATATTACAAAAGCTACAAACTTATTTGAAACACCAATCCATTACTTATTTGTAAGTTTTATAAGAAAACACCTGTGGTATTTCAATGAAACTCCAACAATAGATTATGCCCTACGAAGTTACGTGCGTAGATCTCGAGGCATGTCAATAGTGACGAAAGGAATAAGACGAAGAGGATAGAAGTGGGGAGGGGCACTTTTGATGTATTAGCAACGGTTTACCTCGACACCAAGAGCAATTTATGTCAGAAGGCCAATTCCCAAAAAAGTATTACAATATTAACTTTCTTTTTTATCACTAGTTTCACTAAAGTAAATAAAACACTTTACGGTTTAAATTGCGAAAGATATTATTAGTTAACTTATTTTTATTTATTACGGCTCAACATATCGGATGCTTAACAGCTGCGATGGGCACTTATATATGTCGCGTTGTATACCGTTAAGTGTTTAATTCAAATGTGTATGTGCTCGCGTAACCTACATATAATTTGTAAATTTCTTCTTTGTATATTAATTTTGGATGCTCATGCATCAGTAAACTGTAGCAAAAATTTGGGGAAACTCCAATTACTAGGAAACTAACAGATGGCGCTAGCGTGCCTGATTTGATTTTGACTTTACAGACTCCCTCTAACTTTACTCCGGCCGTGACCACTGCTGTATAACAACTGTAACATGAATATAATGAGTTAAAAAAAATATTTATTCAGGAAACAGATTACATCAATCTAGTTTAAAGTTTGAAACGCTTTTACGCTGAGTTTCTACCCCTACCATATCATTAAATTATATTACCTGGACATGTAATAACGTATATATGTGTATTTATTGTAGAATTGGATTTGTTTATCGCATAAGTTGTTATTTTAGTTTAAAGTCTATTTAAAGACTAGTTTTAACGCATATTTTTTAGTTGTTACTCTAGGAGCGGTGGCTCCAGGGGCCATTGAAAATCAGTGTTGGAACACAAGCATGTTTGTAACGTTATGCTGAGTAGCTCCTTTAAGGGTTGCCATTAATTTTTCAAGTCTTGTAATTTTTTATATTATAAAGTTTGTTTAAGTATAGTTATTAAGTTTATATAGTATTTAAGGTGTGCAACTTTTAAATATATATATTTTAAATTTTGATGTAAATAAGTTAATCATTTCAATAAAACACTTTAACGATTTAAAACGCGATATATATTAAACTTATTTGAAATTTATTTCAACTGCGGCCCGACGTTGATTCTTTGCAGTAGCCGTGATCACGGGTCTTTCCGTATATATTGCGTTTTAAACGGTTAAGTGCTTTATTTATGTATACTGTTCGCGTTAACTACAGACAGTATTTGAGTTATTCATGATGACATTCTTGTGTTAAGTTACAACGTGATTTAAATGTAGCACAAATTCCAGACAATACTCTTTTATCACTGTTGACACAAGAATTGCCTCCCAGTAATGTCGTATAACAGGGATATATAAGTGTAGTCACAACATCGGTATCTTGTATTTTTATTGCAGGCGATTTTCGATAATGCCTGGCAGCCGCGCGGACGAGTCTCTGCCGACAGTTGCAAACCGCCGCGTATCGATCGCGCCGCACGCCCAGCCACCCGTGCGGATCGCTCGTAAAACTCAACATCCTCTCGGCTTTCAAGACTTTGATATCTAATATCTTTATCGCTATCGTCTTCCTAAATATCGATCTGCGATAAGGCATTTTGTATTTCTTTATACCAATAAAACGAGTTTTAATCGTGGTTTTTTATTACACCTAAAAAAATAAAGGCGTAATGGCTTAATTTTATTAAAAACCGAAAATAATTAAAAAAAAATCGACTCGGGCAGGACTTGTACTAACCAAGACTCGGTAGCTCAATTATTGGTTTCGTCGAATTTTTTTTTTGTTTTCTATTTTTAATATAATATATTAAAGTTTTCAAATGGCTCAAGTTGTCAGAAACCGGTTTTAACAATATCAACACCAAATTAGTGTTGACTACTGGGATAACCGCTTAACATACCCCGAAGTACAGGGGAAAATTTTACTTAAACTTAAATGAATTTGTCAAATATATATTTCACATTGCCCAATTACCGAGGTACAGTACTTTAAATATATAACCAACACTGACCACGAACTATAATTTTCCAAGCATACCTTTCTTAGTTTAAACATAAAACTAAACTAAGAATAAATGCTTGCAAAACGAGGTCGACACACAAGTGTCCCCATACTTTATTTTCATTTAATGAAAGGTCAAATACTCCAGCCACACAACAGGTAACATATGCGCTATCGACCTATTTGGAATGTTCGGAAATCTACCGAAACCGAAACGCGATTAAACTTCACGGTTTTTTCCTCTGTGAGATAGATTTTCAATATACTTCAGAAAAAAACATCTTAGATCCGGTGGGGATCGAACCCAGAACCTTGCTACTATTAGACCATCGAAGCAATTAAAAAGACAACAAGTTACAAGAATACAGAAATTAAGATACCTCAATGTTATTTTTCAAGATAAGCCTGGCAATAAATCGACCAGATTAAATTGGAAATCGTTGGCATGATTTATCCAGCAATAACGAATAAAGTCAATGAGATATATCTTAATTATTTCGGTATTAATAAATAGCCATTTGTTATACACTTCGTGGGGAGATAAACAAAAAATATGATGTATAAGGTCGGGAGTAACGCTCGCCGGCGCTTAATTACTCAAGCTGGAAAAGGGTTCGTTAATTATATTTTGGTTACGATGAAATAACGCAATCGAGTGCTGAATAACAACGTGGTTGTACGGGAGCATTATTATTAAAATTTGATGATTCATAAATGCTTATCGATGCAAATTTTAAGTGCTTAAAGTAATTCGGCGGGTTCGCTCGTGTTATGGTAACAATGTATCGCTGACAACGGGCGTCCAATCCCCACTAGGTCCAAAATTTTTCTAATTAATTATTTTTTCAGAAACATGTTGCGCTTTGTCTGAAAATCTGGATTAATCTCGTCCGAGTCACGAACGACGACAAGTGAAAAAGTCGTAAAGTCTAATCGCGTTTGCGTTTCAGTCTGTGGATTTCCGAATATCCAAAGTTAAAATAGGTCGACAGCGTATTAGACGTAAATGTTATGGCTGCTGTAATTTACCTACCTACAAGCTCATGCTTGTCTAGCTTGTTTGCCGAGAGTCGGGTCTTTTATACTGTATAAACCTCATTATATTATGCTGGCAAATAGGGTCTTAGCAGATGACATGATCGTCGAATTGAGAACAGGCCGGTTGAACAGAGACCACGTGTCGGGGAAAAATAATATTGTTCGTGCACAGTCGGCGATAAGTTAAAACAGTAAAATAAGAAAAACCTACTATTTACGGAACCATTGATTTCAATTTTAAAAATGAATATTGGCTTGACATAATTCGCAAGTAAAAAGAATGATTTTCAACTTTTCAGAATAAAAGTTTTTATACAGCAAATCAATCCAAATATAACCCGCAATATAAATCAAGGAACAGTTCTAAAACAAACGAGTAAAGTTCGTATTTCGATTTGCGTAAATTTATTTGATTTGCCGGATTACGAAGAAAATGGAATGAAACAAGAGAAAATTGTGTATAAAATGCTTCGGAGGTACGGGGAGGATTAACCTTTATTTTTATTTTGTATTGAAATGAGCTACAAATGTTTTTAGGTTTATATTATTGATTTGACATACCAGTAAAACATCTGTATATTCTTAAAACAATAATAAAATATACATCTTACATGATACGTAATAATCTTTTAACAGGCGGTTAAAGTTGAAATTACATTGAGCGAGAGGTGTATCAATAGGTTGAAAAAAATCGTGTAGGACACTGTAGCTCAATTGGCTCAATTGGTAGAGTAACAGCACGGAACGCTGTGGATGCCGGTTCGAGTCCTTCCCGTATTGTATTTTTTTTTTAATTATACCGATATATAATGCATTTTTATTTTAAGAACACCCCTTTTTTCTTCTTATAACGAACATTACTTATTTCTCTGACAATTGATAAATTGTATTAAACTTGTTAAAATAATAACGCCGCACATTTCACGGTGAAATTGTTTAAAGAATAAATATAGAAGCGAACAAAGCTGCATCTGTCACAGATGCGATAAATCCTTCTGAGCGGACAGTTCCCACGGGAACTCACTGGTCAAGCTTTGAACAGATGCTATGGACATTGTATTTAATTTTACAGATTTTCATTTTGCGGAGTCAATTGTCATGTTGCTATAAATCGAAACATATTTTTTTTTATTCTTTTTATTTTATAAGCCCATACATCTCATGATTAACTCGGATAAAGCAGATGTTTTTGTTTGTGGATAATATTGTCTATGTCAATTAATGAAGTACTGCCTGTAGTTAAATAAAACCACTTTATTGGTTTAAAACGCGAAATAAATAGTTACACTTATTTAGTTTGCCAGTTTCGCCAAATATCAACTACGACGGAACAGATGGCGCTAGCAGTTTTTTACTTTGACATTAGTAACACCCTCCACACACACGTGATAGATAGGACATTATCGAAATCCACATTACTTCTCTAATAAATATTAATAAATAAAGTTAGAATGCGAGGAAGATTCTATATACCGTTGAGGATCTCCCTAAACTTAATCTTATCATCAGACCCCGAATGACAATCACAACTAATCTATCTCTCGGCTCCATCATCAGATCTACTCCAAACCTTTAGGTTGCAGTGCTTTAAAGTACTGCAATGCAAAAACTCAAACGATTAATAATGGGACCATGTATAAATAATCTTCTTACCAACAAAAAGAGATCGCTAAAAAATGAACCAGATTTTATAAAAATAACAAGCCGTGTTTCGTTATGTTGTGACAAATGTCGATGGCAGCGAAAAATTAACCTCGCGCCAGGTTAATCCGATCGGCTCCGTGTTCCAGTTTCGTGTCATCCAATTACATTAAATTTAATTATCTACACATGTATTAAAGCTTCATTCGGATTTCCCGTTCGGATTTTACGCAACGGCTATTTTATCAGCCATAACGCGAACATAGTCAATGTACATTCAATTTAGTTTCCGATAGGTTTAGGAACGCCAAAATTAATTACTACTACATTTAATTTAATACGTTATTCGTAGATTTTATTCTTGATACAGTAGCACAGCCATATAACATCTAAATACGTCCAGTCCATTTAAAATTTACGACTTTCTAATCTATAGGTGGTTCGAGACTAAGACGTTCTTATAGCAGAAAGATTACAAATAAAAATGCTTAACCAATATTGATGGTTAAGCAACAGCAATCAAACGACTACAACCAGTTGATTGTTATCCATACGTGCCATATGACCAACGAGTACGTCATATTGGTTCGAAGTCCTCGTCGGTTTGGTGGTGTAAAGCCCTATATTTGTTCTTGAATCTGAAATATTAGTATATATTCTGATACGTGCTTTTCGGTTAAGAAAACAACGTGAAGATAAAAACTTGTTTGTTTTGTTAAAAAGGCATTTGGCAAGCCAGGTAGGCTCGTAGTACCGATGTTTTTTTTTAATAATGATATTGATTTTTAAATTAGATATATTTTTTGATAAATTAGTTAAATTTTAATTTAACAAGAATAGTGCTAGAATTGTTAAAATCTAAATCCTCCCGGGTTTGCGGAGATAATGACGAGGAATATTGTTCGAGCCACCTAAATTAAATAGTGCCAATCAATAGATGAATTATCTGAGGTATCACTATGCAAAATTGGCCTCATTTATATTCTATGCACCCACGCGAATTGGAACGGATAGCTAACTTATCGATGATTGCAAATATCGATCCCTCTAACAGCTGGCTAGCTTTCAGATTGATTATGAGATTTGCAGCTAAATTAAGGCGGCTTTGCAAATAAGTGATTTGCTTTTAGGAATATTACTTTTATCCTATATAAATAAGCTTTAAATACAAGATTACTTATGTCTACTAAACGCGATACATTTCGCAAGCATGTACACAAGAAATAAAACCACTTGTTAACTATAAAGCCGACCATTGTATTAACCACTTCATAGTATATAAATCTTCTATTAAAACAAATTTAGATTGAAAAAATAATTTAGACATGCGCATGATAACATTATTTAACAAAATTTATCTTTATCATATGCCATATGAAAAATATTCCTTACGTATAATGAATCATGAATTCATGTGTTTGAAAAAAATTCAAAACTAACAACAAACTAAATTGAATTTCTTTTAAAACGGTTACATTAATGTAACACATTGCGTTAATCACGAGAAGTCCAAGGTTATTGGTCCGGCAAAATGCAATGAAATCTACTATAAGAAGGTAACTTATTACTTAGCTGAATTAAGACCTCTCTATATATAAGAATAGATATAACTCCAATCTACATTCTTGTAAATAAATTCTATGCGTAAAAGAGACAAACAAATTTGTCTGTCCCATGTCATTTGTCATTTATGCTCGAAATACCAAAAATATAATCCTCCAAATAATTTGGCACAAATGAAAATACTTATAACATGGAATGTATGGAAATATGAATTCCACACTCTGTGGTTTCGACACCTCATTACGTTTTCTTGTTCAAATATTATACGTTGAACCGGGATCTCATAAACATCACACGACTTATTC